ACAAACCAAACCAACGTTTTTTCTGGATAAAATGGCAGCTCCTGACTGCGTGCTGGACATAGTCTATGCGGTCGAATATTATCTAATAATGAATGCTGGGTTTCAAGATGTGTGATGGTGTTGCGAATAGTATGCAGGTAAGCTGATTATGTTGACCATAAGTTGAGCCAAGGGCCGAAACACACTCTTTACATAACGTGTATTTTTTTAATGAAGTTCCACGATTTGTAAACGTTGTTCAAGCGTAAGTCTTTCCGCAATAAAATGCCAAACAATGCTAAACAAAAACAAGTAAGGATGGGCTAAGTTCGGACGTAACCGAATATTTTATACTCTCACAAAATCAAATGGTATACTCGTTTAAGATTTCTTTGTGGATTGACCGATATTTTCGGTAAAAGCTCAACTATGGGCACTGGGGTCCACATATTCAGTACCTAATGGTTTGAACAGTTTTGGTTCGATTTAAATAATTTTTGGTCACACGGTGGCATACTTTAAAAGTATTATTCACGCAAAGTTTTACCTCGACATAATCATTGTTGCTTGATTTGCATAGTGGAAAGTGAAAGAATCAGATGAAATTTAAAATGATGTTTTATGGAAAATAGGCGTGGTTGTAATCCGATTTCGCCCATTTTCGTACTATAACATAGAAATATAAAAAGAATGCTATGTACCGAATTTGGTTGAAATCGGTTAAGCAGATCCCAAGATATGGGGTTTCACCTAAAAGTGGACGGTGCCACGCCCACTGACTAATTTTGAACGTGGTTCCTATAAAGTCATATTATACCATCCCAGAGATAAAATTTAATGTCTCTGGCTTGTTTAGTGCTTGATTTATCGCGCTTTTAGTAGTTTTTAAGAGTACCGTTATATGGTGAGTGGGAGGGGTTGTCACCCGATTTCACCCATTTTCACACTGTCGATACAGATGCTAAAAGCATTTGTTCTCAGTGAATTTTGTTATTATAGCTGCAGTGGTATAGGATATATGCACATTAAACTTATTAGGGGGCAGGACCACTTCCACTTTCAAATAAAATTGTAAACTGCAGATGCCCCTCCCTAATGGATCCTGTATACCAAATAAGAGCCTTGTATCTTGTTGTGAAGCTTAGATATGTCAATTTATTTGTTTTTGATTAATGGCGTTTTGTGGGCGTGGCAGTGGACCGATTACGCCCATCTGCAATACCAAGAAATATGTGTACCAAGTTTCATAAAGATATTTAATTTTTTACTCAAGTTACAGCTTGATTTTATAAAAAGTGCTCTGACCATTGCCACCCCAACAAAACGCCATTAATCTAAAGCTAATAAAGTGCCATAACTAAGCTCCACAAAATGGTACAAGGCTGTTATTTAATACAGCATAATGCGTAAGGGGGAGATATTTATGGTTGAAAATTTTTTTAAAAAGTGCTAGTGGCCCCGCCCTCTAAAACTTTAATGTACATACTCTTAAGCCATTGAAGCTATAATAACTAAATAAACTCAGGCCCAGTCTTTTTGTCACCTCTACCGACATTGTTAGTATGCGTGAATTCAGATTATAACCCCACTCACTCCCCATATAACGAGTTTCTTAAAGAATACCAAAAGTGCGATAAAAATATAAAGTAATTCGCCTGAGACATAAAATTTTCCACTCGATATGGTATGAGAGGGCTTTATAGGGATCTAATTTGGACGATGGGTGTTGCACCGCCCACCTACAGCTAAAATTACATTTCTCCGGGCCTACTTGACCAATTTCAATCAATTACATAGTATTATATTGGTAGTCCTATGTCACAGTGCGAAAATGAGCAAAATCGGAGTACGATCACGCCTGCGTCCCATATAAACCAATTTTGAACTCGATCTTACTCTTTCTTTTTCCAGTATACAAATCAAGAACGAACCAATGTATACGGATAAAATTTTGCACCAATAGTTCCTTTTAAGTATGCCACCTTATGACCATAAATTTTCCAAATCGGACCAAAATGTGATTATTTTCAACTTTTTATCAGAAATATCGGTCAATCTGCGAGACGCCTTGTTAATGGCGTTTTGTTGGCGTGGCAATAGTCAGATTCCGCCCACCTGCAGTACCTCCCGGGTGTCAAGGAACCGAGTTTCTCAAGATATCTCAAATTTTCGATTGCGCAGACAGACTGATGGACGGACACACTCAGTAGCATTACAACATTTGGTTCACAAAAATATTAATTTTAAAATCAAACTAAATAACTCAAATGAGATATACTTATGTATGTGATATAAACTCAACCAAAGCGAAATTTAATATATAAACTGATTCCAATATCTTTTTGGCATAACTCAAGCAGCTTTGAAGAACGAAAATCATTTTAAGTAGTACATGGGAGTTAAGGTAGGTAGGTACCAATTTCACATATTTTCGGCATTAAACTATAGTATATCCAATATTATACGTTAAACTATAGTATATCCAATAATATACGTTCAGTTCATTTTGCTAAAATATCTTTCATATTGACCAATATAACATATACGGTGTAAATATAACTGGAATAATAAAATTCTTATATTAGGTATTCACTCGATTTTTATATTTTTGACACAAGGCTACAATATTATTTGAAAAATAATATCTTTGAGTTTCAATAACATACGTACCTAATAGATCAACCGATATTATCGGTGCTATATGCACCAAAGTCCAGAAATTCGATATCTGGGGACTTGAGAAATTACGGTAGAATTTCCTTTTTTTTTTTGTGAGATGGCACACTTCATGGGCACTATTTGTGCAAGGGTATGGTTAAATACTATCAATTGTGCTTGATTTATGTACTGTAAAGTTAAAGAATCATATGAAACTAACAAATTTAATTATGGAAAATAGCGTGGTTGCTGTCCTATGTGCCACATTTGCAATATGTAGCATACAAAATTTTATCACCTCGGTTGTAAAACGTAATGTCTCTGACTCATTTATTTATAGTTATCGAATTTTAAGTAATTTTCAACATAACTGGTATATTGGGAGTTAGCGTGATTTTTATCCAATTTCACTCATTTTCACACAGTGCGAAGCCATGCTATCGAGACTAATTTTCAGCAAGTTTAATGTATTCTGCTTTAGTAGTTTGCGAGATATGTACTTTATACTTATTAGATGGCGGGGTCTTGCACACTTTGCACAATTTTTTAAACCGCAGATGCCTCTCCATACATCGATGTACAATACCAAATCAAAGCTTTATATCTACTTAAATCTAAGGCTTATTTATAGATTTTTATAGCTTTTAGCTTAACGGCATTTTATGGGCGTGGCAATGGCCTGATTCCGCCCATCTGCAATACCAACTTTCTTTTCCAATAAAAGTAGAAATGCAGTTTTATTCTCATATTACATCCCAAACTTTCATATCAATCCAAAGAGTTTACCTCAATATTTAATAGTTACTTGTAAATTTTTGTGGCTGATTGAAGATTGGTTCAAAAACTTTCGTTGACTCTTGACGCTGTACACAAACTTATATTATGCTGAAGAATATAAGACCAATTATTTTCATTGAAATGTCTCATAAACATACTGACTGATACAAACGATGTCACTATATTGGACATAATGAGGATATGAACGGATTTAGATAACTTTTGAATCAAACTGGCGTGTATCAAGAGCAGGTTAACATGAAATTTTTTTCAATTAAAAATTTGTTTTTAATCCTGATGTTGGGACTAAAAATTTGATTTTCATTTTTTAATCCCGATGTTGGGAATAATTATAATAAAATAATACACATGCTTTAGATTGAAATTTAGTTTCCTCACTATCTATTGTACAAGTATTTAATAACAAATTAAACTGAATTGAATGATATGATGATATTGCATAAAGCGGTGCGGACCGCTTAATTCATCATTTAATTATCAAATAATTTATGTTTTTGAATAGCACGGTTTCGAGTTCTTTCAGATGTATTCCCTATTCGCAAAAGCTTATTTAAGAAACAAGGATCGACATTAATGCTACTTTAGAAATATTACAAGAAAAGTTTGTTGTCATGGCTCACTTAAATTGGAGTCAGGTTGAACTGGTCTGAACGCTAATATTAAATATAAATAATAACAATTACTTCAATATAACTAGATTCATATGACAAAATTAATGTTAGCAGCTTTCTAGTGTAGCAGTGATAGTAGTGCAACCTATTGTTCTAAATGGATATAAAAATGCCAGATACAAATATATGTGTACCTTTGCTCATATGTACATATATAATACGCGTTTTTTCATGTTTGTAGTGAAGATTGTCTAACATGAAATGTTTTATTTGCCACATCATGAATATTATACAAGAGGGCCAGAATATTGCAAGTTGTTAAGCGATTACTTGTGTTTTTAAATAGCTGCAATATTAAAGGAGGCATGCCTATACCACTACGCAGATATTGTTACGGCCAACCAAATTTCAGTTCTATCATAATAAGAGAATATACATTCTCTTTCACTCTACAATATTTGTATGCATATATATGTAATGATAAGAGAGGCTTGAACGTTAGCAGTTGTAAAATAACAGCAGCACCTGTTCATTGGATAAGGCAGAGCGACAGAGAGATTGCAAAAAAATATTTTGTAACAAGTGCTTCGTGAATGGTACACCACCAGCTGCTTTTCGCTTATGCTTGTAACAGTTGTCACCATTGAGAATTACGAATTTTAATGGAATACTGTACACATATACATACATTTATTCGTTGCAAAAATATATATGTGATAATAATTGGTTACTGAAGTTTTTTGTAGTTTTGAATTTGATTCGCTGAGTTATGATTTTCTTAAGGAGAAAAACTGATATTTAAATCAGCAGTGCGTTTTATAGCTTGTATTTTTTATTGGGCTATTAATATAATAACTAGGTACTAATTTTATATGTTACCAGTTGTCATTCATGTTGGTGTAAACAACATTTGACGTAAAGTTGATGATAGCTGTTTTGTTTCAATTGTGTAATTGCATCAGGGCATTTAGGTTGCACACAAACCACGCTAGCACGCAGCCTCAGTGTGCGGCAATTATCGAAGAGAAGTCGACCTCTTGCACTTAAGCGCCCTTTCGTAAGGTTTTTTAACAATTCATTTGATTGTTGCCTATGAACCATTGTGCGATGGTATTAAAAAATTTAAAGCAAATAGTTACATTCTACTGTTGTACTTACCACTTTGCCCCTCATCTTTGCCAACAAACTCACTTCAATAGCATCATTTGAAATTCAATGACACTTTAAAAATATTACAAGAAAACTCTATACGGCGCCAAGCATCGAAGCATAACGCAATAAAAAAACATTACAGTGCTAGTTTCACTTTCGGCGAAAGAGTATCAGCATTTCCCGAACGCATTTCGCCTACATTTTGCTTTGGTACACGCATCTCACCAAAGTAGTTAACCTGCTACTCAGGCGTTGTCTTAAGCAGTAAAAGTAGTGCTATGCTGCTATGATGACGCGGCTACCTAGATTGATGGAAGTGAGCGCTGCCGGTTTTAATGCGAATACGTGGTAGACACCAATTAAAAAGTAAACAACAAGTTTAATGAATTCAAATAATTAATGAAATTGTGCTATGGAAAACTAAATATACAGTTATCGCTTATTATACAATACAAATAAATAACTTATCGCATAGTGAATAATTAAACCGAAGAATTACAGCACAAGAGATGTGTCAAATTTGCTAAAACAATTAGCAATAATTGTTAAAAGAGTAAAAGAAAATAACATACAATTGTGAATTTATTAAAAGAATTATTTTGGAATGTAATAAGTGTTATATACATAGCTTATCATCTTATTTCAATTTAATCCAAAACACAAAAGAAGTGTGTGCAATTTTTCTAAATGTTAATAATAAATATTATTCATTATTTGTTGCAGAAATTTCGTTGGTGTTTTCAAATATTAAATAAGATTGAATTTTTATTTGTCAAAAAAAAAATTGTAAAACAAATAAAGTGTTAACTTGCCCAAACTAAAAATTAGTTAAGTGGTAGTCTGCAGCTAATCATAAAATATTTAATATTTGGCAGCGTTTCAATTTTATGAAATTATTTAATAAACTTCTGGGGTGAAAATGGTTAAATTGTTTTAAATTATAACTGGTACAAAAATGGATTCACAACTATAAACCACACTATGTTTGCAATTAATAATAAAAAGCAATGACTTCAAATTAAGATATAAGGAAAATGTATCGAAATAGGTCATTAAACGACAGGACAGAGAGACGAATTTGTCAAGCAATATGTAATATGTATGTATACAATTTATATTGTTTTATAAAACTATTTTTTGAAAGTTACCTTATGTAAAATAACCAGTATATACCTTTCTAACAATTTTAATGTGTATGCGTTCTTGCCTGTGCAAACAAGTCATTTATTCACAGATGCATATATTTGTTTAAATATACTTCTGTGTGCCTACATACATATGTATATTAAACACCCAAAGTTACATTTACGTGGCGCTGTCATTGGCTCTGCCAATTGGAACAGCAAGTGAATTTGTGTGAATAACCGTTAAAAAAATAGACACATCTAAACTGATGTCATTTACAGGAATGATCTATTGGCTGGAAATATAATATGTTCAATATCAGTTATCAAATTAACAAAGCATACCAAAAGTTTATTTCGATATTACAATAAACATATGTTTTTACTATCGCAACATGTTGCTACAGAGTATAATAGTTTTGTTCCATAACCGTTCACCTAAAATTAAACGGGATAGATATAGAGTTATGATATATGAATAATAAAGATCGTGTCGTCGACTTGAAATTCGGATTTGAGGTGTTTTGATAAATATAGGTAGACATCTTTATTAGCACCATGAGAATGCAGCTATTGCAGATAGGCGGAATCGGACCATTTTCGCGCTCATTAAACGCATTTAATAGAAAACCTATAAAGTGACATAACTATGCATCACAATGTGGCTCCGCCCCATAATAGAACTAATGTACATATCTCCCAAACCACTTAAGTTAATCAACAAAATGTGATCAGAAAAAGCACCTACTTCACCACTTTCATGCAAAATCAGTACATAACATTGTCCTGATTACCGTGTTAAAATGGACGAAATCGAATCACAACGATGCCTTCTTGCCATATAACACAACATTAAATTCTATCTGACTTTCCAGTATACAAATCAGGAACCAATTAATATATTGGGATGAAACTTTGCATCAATAGTGCCGTTGGGTTATGCCTTCTTAAATCTTAAAATTGTCAAAATCTAAATACAACTGTTCAAGTCTTCAAATACCGATTACGGGGACTCCAGTGCCGATTTATAACTTTTAATCGAAAATATCGGTCAATCTGTGAAACCTGTGCCTTTAAGGTAAGCCATCTTGAGCCAAAAAATTGTTAAAATCGGACCATAACTGTTCAGATACTGAATACGGGGTGTCCCAGTGCCCATTTACAACTTTTTACCGAAAATAAGGGTAAATCTGTGAGATATACTCTTGAAATTTGGAGAGAATTGTTTTCTGATAATATTATGGCTCTATATGAAAAATGGGTTTAATCGGGTTAGCTCTCTTACACCTAATATTAAAATTTTCGAACTTCTGGTCGACTTCATCCACATATATCGACCAATATGTGAGTTATTTTAATGAATTGAGAAACCTTATAAAAGAAGAGTGTATCTTTTTGCCTAAAATAGATGAAACCAGGTGAAAACTTGCCCAAGCCCTCATATATCTAAATCAAGGTGTTCAAACATCCGGCTGACTTTACTGCTTATATTATACATTGGTGATGTTATATGAGGTATCCTAATAAAACTAAAAAACATTTTTTTCTGTTAATATGTATGTATATATTATACCTAGAGAAATGAACTGAAAGTATAATATCGGATATACTATAGTTTAGTGCCGAACTTATGTGAAATTGATCCAAGAAGTATCCCAATTTTCATATCCTATATATGTGATTTAATTATATTTTATTATAATTAAACTTATGCCAAGCATGTCGGTCGGTGTGTGAGTTATATATTTATAAAAATACATTCTTAAGTATACCTGAGCAATGTCAAAATATTTAGTGTTTTCCGATTTTCTAACTGACTTTAAACCGTTTAGATTGGTCAATATACAATATATATAATCCGGATTCGTTCGGATACGCAGACACGACTTCCTGGAATCCTAGTGGGAAATGGGTAATTATGCACAGTTTTTGATTTACATTTAACCTAACGTATAGATAACAACTTATCTGAACAATTTGCTCAAATATTATTAGTTTAACATTTCATATATTTTTCTGTGTTCGATATAGAGGATCAAAAACTCCGAAAATCGCCATAAATATTCAGTATATGTTACTTCTCTTCTCCCTTTGGTTTCTAATGACAAAGATCATGACCAAGCCCAGCTTTTGAAATGCGTTTACAATTCTCATGTCCTTTTATATTGCGAGCCAAATAGTGAACATATCTATGAATCGAGTGTTTACTATTAATTTTAGCAAGTCTGTTTGTCTATGCAAACGATAACTTCAGTAAACAATTTAATTATATATTCATGAAAATAAAGTTATGTAGGAAGGGAATTCGTGGGCGTGGGCTCACCCTTCAATACATTTAATGTATAAATCTCACGAAATATTAAATCTATAACTATCAAACTTATTGAGAAGATTTCTTTGTGTCACTATTTCATACGGTGTGAACACGGAAAAAATCGGACATCAAGCAACTTCAACTTTTCATATGATAGCCGTTTAAATTTATTCAGATTCTTCCATTTTACAATGGATAAATTAAATTATGCACGAATAGTGCCCTGAAGATATAGTAACTCTCTACAAAAGTGATATCCGAACAAGAAGCGACACGGCTTCATTGCCACCATTAAAAGGTTGATACTGCAAAAGGACAAAAACAACCCATTGCTACGGCCACAAAAAAGCAGGTTAATTGGAAAAATTTAAAGTGATGTTAGTAAGCACAAATTAAACTAATAAAATCAAATGTGGTACAAAAAATAGTAGAGTCCTTCTAATTGATTTAATGTCTACATCGCTCAAACTACTGACGGTGCGAAATTGGGCATAATCGTATAGTAACTACCCGCACACCGCATACAAAGGTTATATTGAAAACTACAAAAATTGCGATAACTGTATAAAGAAAAGTGTCAAAAATATTAAATTTTACATTGTACGGTGAAAAGGTATACAAATCGCTTCAAAGATTAAACGACAGGTGGTGTCGTACTTTCAACTTTTAGCGGAAAAATTATGTTCCCATTTTTATGTTATAGTTTGAAAGTGGGAATAATCCGCGTCTTTTTCCCTCATAACACTATTCCGAATTCCATATGATTCTTACACTGTACAGTATAAATATTAAAGGTCTACCAAACAGCACGACGTGACATTACAATAAAACAAAACACTCAAATTTGGTTAAAAAGGCATCCGCTTTTCTTTGTTATACAGATCATTTTATGCCATTTATGATTTGAATAAAATGTTGGCCAAAATAATTGCATATCTTCACCCATTTACGCCAATTATCGAGGACCCGGTGCAGCATTTCGGCTATAGTACACTGATAGTTGCCTTCGAGCTTCTTGAGCGTTGTTGTTTTTGAGAAAATAATCTGGAGGCAGGGAATCGGGTCACGGGCACTGGGCCATATCTCGAAATAACCAAGACGCCAAAGTTCGCACGCTAAGTGTCCATGTTGTCCATGTGTCGTCCGCATCGATTTCCTCAAATTTTGAGAAAAAAAGTCGGTAAACATCGTGTTATAATGCTCGCTATTGATGGTAACGGCATTTCCTGCCTCATTTCGAAACAAAAAAGGCCCGTTGTACCCAAGAGAAACCTGACAACACAACTGGTCACCACGAGCTGTCAAAATCACGTCATCCGTCTTGGTATACGCTGTATATATAACAAGGTTGGTCTAAGTATACTCAAAAAAACGCTACTTATTTGTTTACTAAGTTAAATCACAGATTGAAGCCATTAATATCTGGAGCATAAAGTCAAATATAATATTGAAAATCATTATTTATGATACAAAACTGCCAAGTTAATTTTCGTAATACAAAAATTCGTTTTCTGAAGGTATTTAAAGTAGGCCCAACCTCATCATTTGACTAAAATTTCTACTCGGCAAGTGACTTTTTAATGTTTGGAAACAATATCGAAAGTCATACAGAGAGATAACTAAAGATTATTGTGGATGGACAGCATTTTGTAGCCTGTTTGATCAGGCTGTTTAGTTGAATTCGTCTATGAGATTGTACGACGAGATAGTATATTTCTCCTGTAATAGTTTGGTTGATGTTTATTCTTTATCGATCCGCTTTCATGGGCCGTTGATGACATTCGCGAAACTTCTTCTAGCATCAGTAATTAAGCATACCCCTCGTCTTTAAATTTTTGTACTCTCTCAATATGCAACATTGAATACGATACTTTTGTTTACACGATGACTTTTTTATAATAGATAAAACTAATCGAGATAGATATAGAGTTATTATGTATGTACATACTTATATGAAAGTTATCAGAGTGACGAGACGAACTGAATTCCATATTTCTGTCTGTCCGTTAGTCAGTTTATCCATCTATCTATGCAAGCGATATCATGAATAATAATTAAGATATTTGGATGAAATTATCTCGGCACTTTTATAATCTGGAATGATGGCAACAATCCAAGCTTTGTCGGGCCCACAATATAACGTTCAATAAAAATTTTAATAGAAGTGAACATTACTTGCCCATTGCCTAATTTTAATACTGCATCGCAAGCAAACCTGCTGTTCTGTTATTACATATAAAATCAATGTTCTTGATTTTTTCGTTAGGCAGTTATCGCACTTTTGCAGGCTTGTGTAAGCGTTGAAATGTCATAACGTAAATGAGGGGAAATACATTATCGTCACTCTTATAAGAAGATCAATTTCGTGTATTTAACAAAAAGCTTCTTAGATTCCCTCTGAATTCTTCTAGCTGATTCTATGATAGTCAACTTACTGTATCAGTATTTCATGTATGTATCAGTAAATCAGTTTTCTGCCACTAAGAACTCTCATTTTGAGGCACTGATTAACTATCTTATATAGGGTTTAAAGTGATTGTAATGTATATAGAACCCGTAGTTGTTGTATCGAATTAGGTTAGTGTGGGCCATGTGATACCCACCCTGAAACAAGTTGTAACTTGAGTATAAATTGAGATATTGTAATGAAACTTGATATAC